ACCTGTGCCCCACCCACCAGCACAGCATAGTTGATGGAGAGGATATCTTGACTCCCGGGAGCAGGGCCGGAGGGGGTCCAAGCTATGGATGGGACACCCCTTCCTTAGGGGGCTTGTGTGGGAGCAGGATAGGGGGTTCTGCACCCCACCATGCCACAGACATTGCCCCATAAACTACACAGCACCTTCTCCCACCCCCATCCTGATGCATCTGGTCCTCATGCACTGATACTCAGCCCAAGCACGGGGTGGTAGAAAGGGCCTTACGCTGACCTCCCCCCATAGCTTTATATCCCCCTATCCAAGCTGGGGCCGAGCAACAAAGCAATCTCTTGGGTGTTTGCCAGACATTGTGGGGAAAGGCAGGGGCAGAAAGGGATGAAATTGTTTCCTTGCCCAGGGCAGGCACTAGGGCATTCACTAGTCAGCAAGGGGGCAGCTGCCCTGTTTAAAGGGCCCGTTCCAATCCCTCCCTGGGACTCTTCCTGGCCCGCCGGGCAGCTGCTTTGAAAGGCTAATACGCCACAGCTGCTGCTTCCAATGCCTGTCCCCCCCCCTTCCCATCTGGGCCTTTCTGTCCACCAGCTGCTGGTTTTCACCCAAGCAGCCTCTTCCTGGCTTAGGTGCAGGCTGGAATCAGTGTCCCTCAGAGCTCACAGGATGTAACTGTAGATGCTCCCCTGCCTGCTGCAAGGAAAATGCCGCCCTCCGTGGAGCATCCAGACTGGCCTTTGTAAAGATGCTTAGCAGCTTAATTAGCTGTTCGAGTCACGGCTCCTAATCTAGATGCAACATCTTAAGAGCCTTTTGTAGGCTGAAGTGAAACCCTCCCTTGCCAGCACCAGGGGGCCGCGGTAAGTAACCAGATCCCCTGTTGCCCGCCAAGCAGTGCTGCTTACCCAAGCCACGCAAGGCTTCGGCCCCCATGCGCCGGTGTTTATCGCCATGCCAAGGGTGCGTGGCCAGTCGTCCAGCTGGCACAGAGGGCTTTGCACTCCCCTCCGACTGGTGTAACGGGGGACGCGACATCTTGCGCCATGGGGGCTGGAATTTCAAGTGCTCCAGTGAGTTGATAAAGGCTCGATGGAAGGAGGCCAACAGGGGCTGCAGCTGGAGGTCCCAGCCTTGGTGGCCAAGGACAGCTCCATCCCCCCAGAGCTGTGGTCAGGCAGAGCAAGGGCTTGAGCAACCCGGACTGGCCCTGCCCCCTGCAGTGCTGGCCAAGAACTCATGGGGTCCTTACCCCCACCCTGTGCTGCTGGGAAACTGCCCTGAGGGCACTGGGACCTAAGGGGTGAGCCCCCTGCCCCATTTACTTCATGACCAGGTCAGGCTGGTTAAGGGGGCTGAGGCAGGACTGCAGACGAGGAGGGAGCTGCCACCAGGGACAGGAGCAGGAACAGAGCTGTAGCTGGGCCCCTCTCTGTGTGCAGTGTCACACTGAGGCTGGGGGCTGGGCCAGGCCTGCACCCCTCTAACATTCCTCCTGGCCTGACTGTTGGGAACCTTTGCCTTAGGGGAAGTGAAGATACAGCTGATTCCACTGTTGGCCAGTGGCTCAGGAGCTGCCACTCCAAGTCAGTCGGCAGGAGCTGAGATCTGCACCCTGCCTGCTACAGAGGGGGGAACTTGCTCACCATCCCCCGAAGAATCTGGGGCAGAGCAGAGAATTGAACCCAAATCTCCTGCAGGCCAGGCCAGTGCTCTGACCACGGGGTCCATCTTACCCACTAATGGCTTGGCCTAGGGAGCTTCCAGCTCCCAGTTGAAGATTCAGTGGGGCAGAGCAGCAGCTGCTGTGAGTCAGCCCAGCCCCTGCTGGCTTCCACACTGCTGCTCTCATGCCAGTGTCAGCCGTGCCCTGAGGGCTCATGCCCTGCTGCCAGCTGTAAAAGGAGGGGCCACTGTCTGCTTGAGCTGCCAGGGCTCCCAAGAGTCCTGTCTTAAGCTGCCCCTCTTGCGGCTAATAGCCCCTTATCCCTTCACCATGCAGGGGCAGTGATCCCTCAGCCTCATTTTTTGCTCCACGCTGCCGGGGTGGGTTCGCTGCGGTGCCTGCTGCACTCCTGCATGGCATTGCCTCAGTCTCTTGGGGCTTGCAACGGGTACATGGCTAGATGGGCCTACTGTTGTAATGCTGGGCGGGCGGGGTACACTGGCTTTGATGGGCCCTGCAGTCCGAGCTGGGGCAGGGAGAAGGGGCACCTGGCCCATACGGTCACTGGTCTGATGCAGTGTGAAAGCTCCTTGCAAGCCCTTGGCAGCTCCTGCCTGCAGCTGAGAGACAGGCAACGCTACCGGCATGCCTGCCAAGGCTGCTCCTGCTGGGGGCAAAGAACGCACCATGGCTGTGCACTGAGCCCCCTGTTCCAGCCACTGCTTTGCAGCCGCTAGCAACTGTGCCCCTCCCTGCTGCTTTCTGGGGCCCGGTTAAATGGCACCCACATTACATTGGGGAAACTGAGGCCCAGAGGGGCTGTCCCTATGCTAGACTGGCTTTCTGGAAGAGGGACCAGCCTTGCGGCTCTAGGGGCTGGGAAGCCCAATGGAGACAAACCTGCCAGCAGCCCCCTGTTGAGGGTTGCCAAGCCACACTGGCCCACCCCTCGCTCCTTGGCAAAGTGGCAGAGCTGTACCTTGGATCATGCAAGGGAGCCCTGGGTGACACCCACCAACCTCGTTCTGCTCCCTCCTCCCGTCAGAGGACCTTTGCTCATGACTCTTTAGCCACCCGTTTGGAAATCTTTCAGCACTTCCCCCCATTTGTCATCTTTACACTGGGGGAGGAGGGAGCTCCCGTTCCAGTCTCGCTCTCAGATACAGCAGCTGGCCCCTTGTGTTGCAGCAGCTCTGCACGTGTGTCCCCAGGCTTCACAGTGGTGGGGTTTAAGCAAGCCTCCTCTTCAAAGGTCACCAGGGCGGGCAGTCCCTTGGAGGCCCTGCCTCAGAGCAGCTGCACGAGCCTAACAGCTTGGCTCAGGTTAGAGAAGTTGCCCATGGGGGTGATAGTGCTGTGTGACGGCACATTGGGGGTCCCCCATCTCCTGCACCCTGAAATGGCACAAACAGACTGCACCAGCTGGTGAAATAGAGGAAGTTTATATTCATGACTCTTTAGCCACCCGTTTGGAAATCTTTCAGCACTTCCCCCCATTTGTCATCTTTACACTGGGGGAGGAGGGAGCTCCCGTTCCAGTCTCGCTCTCAGATACAGCAGCTGGCCCCTTGTGTTGCAGCAGCTCTGCACGTGTGTCCCCAGGCTTCACAGTGGTGGGGTTTAAGCAAGCCTCCTCTTCAAAGGTCACCAGGGCGGGCAGTCCCTTGGAGGCCCTGCCTCAGAGCAGCTGCACGAGCCTAACAGCTTGGCTCAGGTTAGAGAAGTTGCCCATGGGGGTGATAGTGCTGCATGGGAGGTAAGAGGGAAGCATTAACCTCAGTCCTGGAAGACATGGGCTCAATTCCCTGCTCCTCCACCAACTGCCTGTGTTTCCTTGGGCAAGTTACTTAGGTGAGCAAGTACCCCCACTACGTCACATGCTGCATGGGAGGAAAGAGGGAAGCATTAACCTCAGTCCTGGAAGACATGGGCTCAATTCCCTGCTCCTCCACGAACTGCCTGTGTTTCCTTGGGCAAGTCACTTAGGTGGTGCCTCAGTTTCCCCTCTGTACAATGGAGGCAACAGGGGTTGTGCTCTTTGCCAGGGGGTGGGTGGATACCTGCCTTAGATTCCGAAGGGCTCACGTTCAGTGGTACCTTAGTTGAAAAGTTACAGCTGGTGGGCTGTAGGAACGGATGAGAATTGGAGGGAAGATGGAGCCATGGGTCTGATCTGGAGCATGGGAGTGGGGGAACAGCCTGGCTGGGCCCTTTGCTCAGAGCCGGGGAAGGAACTGGGGACATGGCTGTGTGTGTGTGTGGGCGGGGGGTACCAGCTCTATAGCCTCTGGTTCTGATTCATGCTGCATGATCTAAATCAAAACAGTGCTTAGATGTTACAGCAGGGTTAGATTAGCATGGTGGGGAGATGCATTGGTCTCGTGCAGCTTCTCCCTTTTAATGCAAGGAGAAACCCCTCTGCCCTGGCTTGCCTCACACTGTATCAGTGGAAGGGGGCAGAGCTAGCACATTACTCCCTGGAGCCAATCATGCAGGGCTGGATCTGCTGCTAACCAACCCCCCTGTGGGAGGAATCGTCGTCCCTTTTGCAGGGGACATGGCTGTAGCTTTGAAGAGTAGAGGTATTGAGTGGTGCAGAATTCCCTGCAGCTTCTCTCCCCACCCAGCTCAAAGCCACCAGGATCCTCCTTCCAGCTAAGCTCAGCTTCAGCCCAGGACTGGTGGGTGTGTGGCTGATGCAAATCTAACAGCATCACTGTGAGCCTCACTTTACCGCTCCATGCAAGATCCCCCTCTTCAAGGTTAGCTTGGGGTCCCAGCAGCATTGCTGCCTCTGAGCTCTTAACAGCTGAGCGCAGCAGGAGGAAGACAGACCTGAGCATCAGGCAGCTGGTAGAACCACAGCTACTCCTTGACTCTTTCCTCCAAAGCTGGCAACTGCCAGGGCTGAGGCTCCTCCCAGTTAGCTGGTGTCCAGGTGCCTTTGTGCAGTCCTGCTTCTTGTTTGCACATGGACTGGCACAGCTCATACACAGGCCATGCTGCCTTGGGTACACTTGGATGCCAGTAGCACTAGGGCCCATTTGCCCAGCCACAAATCGTGGTCAAACAGTCAGCCCTGAGGTATAGGCCTAAAGAGCCAAGCAAGTCTATGAGCCCAAGAATCCCTTGCCCAACACAGCAGGCTTGGTGGGAGAATGGAAGCCATGGCACGAGTTAAGGATCCTACCAGAATATTCCAGGCCTCAATGGGTAACACACCCCTGCCTCCCTGGCATGGGCTGGCCCTCTGGATGCAGAAGCAGCAGTCTGCATACCAGAGACATTTTACTTGTAGTCTTACCTTGAGTTAGCGCTAGTTCCCACACCTCAGATCACGCTCTAGGGATCACACCAGATGCATCAGAAGTGGCTACCCAAGGAGGGATGCCATGAGTGTCTGTGGTTCCTAATGGGTTGCATGGATGGTGTTCAGAGCCATCTTTTGGGGCTTCTCTTCTTCCATTCCAGCTCTGAATGCCCTGCTCTGGCCAGCAGGGAAAAGCGAGTTCTTAACATACAAAGATATGCAAAGTCAGGGCATTTTGCCATCAGCTACACATGCAGCAGGCAAGTCCAGCTAGCAGGTTTCAGACTCTCATGGGATGTCTGTAGTGATTAGTAGCTGCCATAGAGTTAGGTTTTTGTGCCCTTATAAATTGTCATTTTACAAACAGCGTAGGTACTGAAAGATGGTAGGTCAGACACAGGAGCAGTCGCACTTGCCAGCACAGGAGGTAGGTAGCCCAGCTGTGAAGCCTCATGTTTTCCAGGTATGGGGAGAATAGCAGCTTGATTCAAATCCTAATCTCCCCTGCCAATGACCATTGAAAAATCAGGTGGCAGGTTGGGGTCATTTGAGGTACAGACTTAGCTGTGCCCACCTTGGCTATAATCATCTCAGTAAAGACCTATGTGAAGCCTGAGTGGTTTCAAGTGAAACGTTTTTATAACCACCCTTCCTTTCAGAGAGCAACTTGCTCCTTGTAGCTACCATGTAAATGTTATTACCAATTATATTTATATGCCTATGTTACACTTTAGTGACAGTATTGGAATATTTGTATGTGGTCCTTGTGAAAAAGTGTTTTGCATCAGTATTTTATATGCCTATGTTTTGTAAACATGTTAAATAAATCCTTTCAAATGATGCAGCTCTGAAGTACATTAATTTGGGGAGGGGGGCAGGGGAGGAGGAAGGGCAGTACTGCCTTAATAAAAACACTGTTGCCACCAGTGCTTCTCCACTTAAATTGGCTAGATCAGGGCTACTCAACTTTGGAAGCCCTGGGGGCCACAACTTAAGTGTGGTTTTGTATACATGCAAATCTATATGCAAATAGCTTCTTTCACACTGATGGGAATGAATACAAAGTTTAAACCTTAAGCCATGGCACTAGACCCAAGCATGGCGAGTGTGAGCCAGTCAGCACCTCTCAAGCTCTACACAACCAGCACTTCCCACAATGCCCTGGTGTTCCCGGCATCTCCTCCCTGAGAGCTAGAACCAATGACACCCTGTACCCATCTGTTCCAGCCAGCCCATCTGCTTGTGTCTTTCAATGCTCACCCCACCTGGGAGAGGACTTGCTGTTGTGGAGCATGTTCCCAGTGGAGGCCATGTTCAAAGGATCCCAACTGCAGGCCACGTGCTGAGCCCCCATGTAAACCCAAACTGCATCGCAGGCTGCAAGCAAACAGGCTGTGGGCTGCATGTGACCCATGGGCCATGTGTTGAGTAGCCCTGGGCTAGATTCTTGTTGTTGGAATGGACTGTAGTTCTTTAGTGCAAAGAACGAGAGTTCAGAAAAAAAATGGCTCTGTTGCAGAGCTGTGTGCACTGATTTAACACCCGGCTTCGTACAGATGCTCTTTAAGTAACTTTACCCCACTTAAGAATGGTTTTGTTTCCTCCTGGCCCAGCTGAACCAAGTGCTTGTAGAGGCAGATTTAATCATTCAGGGCTTTGCCCCCTAATGCAGACACACTTCAAAGCAGATTCAGGTGTTGAAATGAGTCTGGATTCCTCCTAAACAAGGGCCACTGGTATCCTGTGCTAATCAAATGGGTAGGAACAGTTCAATTGATGGATGATGTAAGCATTTCTAGCTCCATGGCAATGTCAAAACCTTACACAGCTGTTGTCCCAGGCAGTATGGCCACGTTGCCATAGGCTGGCCTCAAATTGAACACTGATACCCTCCTGCAGAGAGCAGGAAGGCAGAACGGCCCATTGGAGTGGAGCTGCCAATGATTCTCAGCCCAGGATTTAAGATATCTGCTCAGTGGCCCACTCTGAAGCCCCTGCTGTCAGACAACAGTGGGAAGTGAGCCAGAACTACTCCCCATGCCCTGCTCCCCCCTGTGACAGGTGGGCTATGGGGAAAGTAGATGGCTGGTGTATCCCAGCTGTTGAGGCTAACTCCATCCCATCCCCCAACTACCCCTTGACAACCTCGCTGCACGACTCACAGGAAACAGAGCCAGGGGTCCGGTCCATGGTGTTCTTTTTATTAATACCACATCAGTTGCAGTTTGACAGGAACCGGGTTGATCAGCTCCTGGGACACTACTGTAATTTATGCTGCACGCACACACGCACACACACACACACAGAGCTTCATTAGTAGTTTGTTTCTGGTTTTGTGTCTACATGTTCTCTTTAAAAAAAACAAATTGCCTGGCACAAAGACCTGTTCAACATCTCACAACAGCAGTAACAGAACAGATGTAAGAACTGGGCCAACGCTTCCAGTGCAGAAAAAGGTCCTGGGGAGGGAGAAGTCGGGGCAGGCCGATCAGTGCAGTTTCCTCTGGGGATAGCAGAGAATGTGGTTTGGTGCTGCAATGCTGAGAAGAGACCAGGGCAGGAGCAAAGAGGCTTCGAACTACCTGCATTCATCCCGCCACGCTTCGCCCAGGAGGAGGAAGGTGGCACAGTCCCCCAGCCAGCTGCAAATCCTTTGGCTTCAGCATGTGGCTTCTCGGGTCTGGAGGCAGATTCCCTGTAATAGCCTAACTGCATCTAGGCTTTGAGTCAGCTGGGCTCAGTTTAAAAGCAGAGTTGTATTTTTTGTTTAAACTCTGCCACGCAGGGCTCAGAGTCCCTTGCTCCATTAGCAGATGCTATGCTAAAGAGGAGCCTGCAATTCTCCATAGCAGCCAAAGTCTCCTTTCTCCCTGCCAAACTAAATTGACTCGAGGGAGGGGAGAATCCCCTTTGCCCCCAAATGCTGAACAGCTCATTCATCCACCAGGTATTTTCCTTCCACTCCAGCTAGCCAGGGGCCCCTTTCCCCCTGGAAAAAGCAACAGAAGTGAGCTTTTGGTCTAAGCCTCTTCAGACAGCCACCTTTCACCAGGGCATGGCAGACTGGTTAAAGACCAACTACTTCCAACCAGAGGAAACTCAAAGCTGCCTTCAAAGGAAGTTCAGCGAATTAAGAGTCTGTACAAAAAATACAAATATGCTGCTCTAAGGCTATTCTGCACACTAGAGTATTAAGTACCATTTCTCTACCTGGCTGGGGTTTAAAGGGACCTTTGCTCCCCGCTGCCAGGTTGGCAAAGGGGCAAGGCAGCATGTGGCACTGTCTCAGTAGTTCAGCTCTCAGTGGTCACCCACCCTCCAGGGGCTGAGAAGGGTTCTGACAGCAGAGGAGTCACATGCAGAGGTCGGGGGAGGGAGGGAAGTTGAGGGATGTTATTTTTCCTCTACACAAGTATAGAGCAGTGTACAGCAGATACAGACATGTTCATCTCATAGTAAGAAATAAAAGGTACAACCTTGGAAAGGGCAGGGGAGCACATTGCAGGAACTGGAGAGGAGAGGGATGAACCAGACTAAAGCACAGAACTGAAGTCACGCAGGGGGGTACTCACACCTCCTTTCCATCAGCAAGGCTGAGGGGGCAGTTTCCTGGACTTCCCACCCCTCGCCTTTGAGTACGAGTCTGACCCCCACGGAGCCAGCTGGGAGAGTATTTTGGAACAGGGACTGCAGAGTGCTGCTCTGTGGAAGTGCAGGAAGCTGAGAGGGTTGTCTCCTTGCAGCAATTCCCCTTGGCAGGCGGGAAAGCGGTCAGTCGAGCAGAGCGCCACCCTGCCCTCACGGGAGGCTGGGAACCGAGGAGGAGCCAGCGCGCAGAGCAGCATTCGGTTCCCTGCGACCGGGGACAAGACCCTCACAATCATTCAGGTGTGCTGAGGCCTCCCCTAATGGCTTTGACGGCAGGTGTCCTTTAGTCTGGTGCACGTTCTGAGCCCAAGGTTCTAGGCTTAGAAAAGCAAATGCCAAATAATAACAAGAAACACTTGGAATGCAGGCTCAAGCTGACTCAGCATGTTCCTTCATAGGTACAAGTAACAATGGTTATAACTATCGTATGGAGTTTAGTACGGACTGGATCCTGGGGCTGCCCACCCCCCAGCTTATTCTGGTTTTTTCTTCACCACTCCTGGAAGTTTTGCTTGGATCCTACAGGAAAAGAAGTGGGGAGAGGGTGAGTTTACAGGGTGAGAGGTCAGCCAGATGCTCATTAACTTATGACAGACTAGTGGTTGGAGCATGAAAGATGTTTATGAGGCTACTGGATCGGAGGCTTTGGCTCAGGCAGCACACACCCACGCTTTGAGGTGGCAGGTTCTAGCCCAGCAGCCATGTCACTGCACTGGATTTACTTAGGACCATCCATGTGGCTCTCTCCTTTCCATTCAGCCCCTTTTCTAAAGAGCATCTTGTGCCCCAACTGCTCTTTGCTCCAGGAGGGATTTAGCAAAAGCTCATGGAAGCTGTGGAAGAACCAGATTAGACTGGAAACTGCTGGGGCCGGAACAGTCACACGTGTGTACACAAGGAGCAGCCCAGTGGGGCCCCACATTGAAAACTACCCGAATGCAACGAAGGGAATTCTTTTCGAAGCGTCTAACTCCCCCTACAAGTCAATGGCAGTCAGGCATCGAGAGCAGAAAGCCACTCTGCAGTACACAGGTCACATGCGGCTCTTTTACAAAGTGTGGCTCACAGAGCCCCCCATGGATCCCCACCTCACCTAACACAGGGGTGGGCAAGATACAGTGGCCCGCCACAGCCCAGCAGGACCCTTGGGCAGGCTCCTTGCCTGCCTCAGCCCCACACATTGCTCAAAGCAGCCAGCTGCTGGGGCTGGTGTGTGTGTCTGCAGGGTGCACCCCTTGGAGTCTCCATGCCCTGCCCCCACTCCCAGCACCATCCTCACAGTCCCCCATCGGATGGTTGCAGGCCAATGGGCGCTGCAAGAGCAGTGCTTGTGGGTGTGTGCAGCATGCAGAGACCTGCTGCCCCCCTCCTCTATTGGGTGCGCAGTGCAAAGATGCCCATGCTGACCCCAATAGTCAGCCACTTTGAGTTGCATGTAGGATGCCACAGCAAGGGAGCCTGTCTGAAGATCCTGCTGAGAGCCACCTACAATAAGCGCTTCCCAGCCAGAGCCTGCACCTGGCACCCCCTCCTACAGCTCAATCCCCTGTCCCAGGTCACATCCTCCTCTGGCACCCCCTCCTATACTCTTGTCACAGGTCACAATCCCCTCCTGCACCAGACCCTGCACCCCAAACCCCTGCCCCAGGTCACAACCCCCTCCAGCACCCAAATTAAGAGTCTAAAAAAAATGACAAATTGTGAAATATGCCACTCTAAGACTATTCTGCAGTTTCTTGGACTTCCCACCCCACGCCTTTGAGTTTGAATCCCTGATGACCATGGAGCAAGCTGGGAGAGTATTTTGGGAGCAGGGACTGCAGAGTGCCACTCTGTGGAAGTGCAGGAAGCCAAGAGGGAGAGAGAGGGCTGTCTCCTTGCACCCATTCCCCTTGGCAGGTGGGAAAGTGTTTGGTCCAGCAGAGAGTCATCCTGCCCTCATGGGAGGCTGGGAATCAAAGAGGCACACCTCCTAATGGACTCCCTGCCTGCCTCAAGTCATAACCCCCTCTTGTACCCAAACCCTTTCCCCGCCCCAGGTCATAACCTCTTCCTGAACCCAAACTGCCTCCCAGACCCCTCCTCCCCATTAATATCACAGAAAAGTGCCACCCTGCCTATTTACCAAATTCTTAGAATGTCCCCCTGCATGGAAAATTATTGCCCACCCCTAGACTAACAGATCAGCAGGGAGAGGAGCTTGAGGCATCTGCCCTCTGGTGGGGCTCAGGGTTTTGGCCCCACAGGTCACACTTGCTGGGGCCCAGAGCTTTGGCAGGCACCTCTCATGGAACAGAAGCCCCAAGTTCCAGCAGATGAGCCCCCCAGGGGTGAAGCGCTGGCAGGCGTGTGGTTCCCACGGTTACGGTATGCGACTCCGAGGGCAGGAAGTTTGGTTCTCGGATGGACAGGCTCAGTAGCTGTAACCACTGCGCCAACCACCAGCACACCCAGCAGAGATGCTTCTCTTCTGCAGCAGAAGCAGGGCTCAATAAGGACTAGCTGGGAGGCTAAACCTTCACTTCCAGACAACCTGAACCCAGTCTAGCACACTGGCTCCCTGCACCTACGTGCCTCTGGGGAAGCCTTATGAACTAAGAGCACATGATCCATATGAAGATCACATGCACCCCAACCCTGACCCGCAATGCCTCTCAGTCAAAGTTCATTCACAACAATTAAAAACAGTTCACATGGGGCTTACACTGCTGTTAACTAGAAGCCCCAGCATGCCTGCTGTTATACAGACAGTCCAATCCCCAGGAGAGGATGAGCCCTCTGTCTGGGACTCCTTGCTCTCAGGTGACGGGGAGATGGATTTTGACACTGGGGTTTTTAGAGAAGTGCTGAGTGGACTCACTTTGTAATAATCGACTTAGTCTGGTCCCGGGCAATTCCAACGTAGTGATCAATCTGTGTCTAAGGAAGAACCAACAGGTTAGGACAGTTGGAAGGGGCAGTGTATCCAACAGACAGCAATGCCTCTTCCCTTCACAGTTCTCTGAATGCCTGCGTCAATTTCCTTTTTAAGGCCAGGTGGGGCCATCACACTCATGTGACCAGACTACTAATGTAGCTACAAACTTAGCATAGGCAAACTTTAGCTAGGAACCACAGAGTCTCCTTATATACCTGCATTTCTCCTCCTACGAAGCTACTGCCTTAAATTCATGTGCCTCAAATGCAGTTCTGACCAAGGCTAATGTAGGGCTTTTACAGAGTTTGGAGGAGGATCCGGTGCCTCGGGCATCTGCTAAATGGTGTGTGCACCAAGAGATTGAGATGACTCACCTTGTATTTCTCATAGACAACTGGAATACCAAAAATCAGCAATTCCCCTGCAAGAGACAGACAAGACACTGGTCACAGGGAAGACAATAGCTCTTTCTTCTCTGGCTGCCCATGGAAACATACTGCCTTGTACAGAAGTGCTTCTGTACCATACAATATGGTCAGTATCATGACAAGATTCTATCTATGGTTATTTATATGCCTCAGAATCTCTAATGGAGCTATCCTCCCAGCACTCCTGAGGCAGGACAGTGCTGTTATCCCCATTTTACAAATGGGTAAAAGGCACAGAGAGACTAAATGACTTGCCCAAGATCACACCAGTTATCTGTGGCAGAGCAGGAAATGGAACCTGGGTCTCCTACCTCCCAAGCTAGTGTGCTAACCAGGAGGCCGACCTTGTGGCTCCTTAATACTCATTAGTAAATGCTGAGGGATGCTCAGCAACCCCATGGCAGAGTACAGCCCAGCTCTGACACCCCTGCCTGTAAGAACTAAGGGTTCACTGGTTAGGGACGGACAAACTAGAAGCTGATGCAATGGCTCCCAATATCCTGGTACACTGCTATGTTATTTAACACATACTGGATGGGCTCCTTGACGGACGATGAAACAGAAAGGTTGCCAGGCAGACCAGGGAACTGCTGTGTACAGAGGCCCATTGCCTTCATGAACTGCAGCTGCTCTCTTACCAAGAATGAGGAGGGTGATCCCGTTGAAAACAGCCCCGACGTAAGTCATCAGCCACATGACGACTGCCAGCTGCAAAGGGAACAGTTCTGTTAACGGGGCAGCGCTCACCTGCTCCATGCAGACTAGACTGATGCCACATTGGAGCACCAGTCCCTGGAAGCTGATCTGGGCCTCTTGGGATCGAGTTTTGCTTCATTAGTAAGGTCACAGCACCACTGATTCTAAACTCTTTGGGGAGGGAATGTCAACTGTGTACATGGCTTGGTACACAAGGCTTGGTACACAAGGCTTGTAGCACAAGGCTTGGTCCATGACTGGGGCTCCTTAGTGCTGTAATACAAATTCCCAATAGGATTTCACCAACTGCCTCTCTCAGTGATCTCTGGCTCATCTGTTTGTGGTGCTATTTCTTGCTTCAGAGCTGCCCAGAAATCAGTTCGGGCTGCTGAGCTCTAAGGAAAGCTCCCTCTCTAAAGAAGATTCCCTAAGGCAGGTATCACCAGAGCTGGGCTTCCCTCCTGCAGCATCACTGCCCAACAATATCCTCTGCTACCATGGAATCCCACCACCAACCTTCAGGGAATCCACCAGGTCCTCCACCAGGAAGAGACGGATGATGAGTTTCAGAGCTCGGTTGACATGCACCATTGCAGCATTCACATAATTGTGGAAGGCCTCTGAAGACAGGGTGATATCGAGATCCAGGTAGGCTCTGGAAGAACAAGAGTTGCACTCAATGAGATACATCAGCCGTATGCTAACAGTCTGACTCTCCCTGCAGAGCCAATCCATGCAGAGGCAGAAGAGTGCTATTTTTTAGGATCCAAGGAATCCGTTTGCTCTGGCAACAGAGCTTCATCCTTTTAGATTCCAAGAGCCCAAGTTTAAACCCCATAGTTGATACGTTCAAGTGCACTGCTGCTCAGAAAGGACTAACAAGGCAAGAAACCCCAATGGACTGGCTCCTTTCTGCTTCTAAAGGAAGGCATTAGACCACCACCGAGCAGGCACCACAGCCAGCAGGAGGGGAAATGTTCTAATCCTCAAAGTTCAAACCTGGTACACTTGCTACAACAACCAGACAGGGTGGAAGAAAGGGCCACTGGGACAGCACCACCCTGAGTGATAACTAAGGGAAGAAGAGGTCTTCAAACACATTCACGCTAGATTTGGAAGCGCCTGCTGCATTTGAAGTGCCATCAGCAGGATTAGGATGGAAAACATCCTAGTGCAGTAGCTCTCCTGAACTGTGTGGCTTGGATCCAGTTAGTTCTTCACTAGAGGATGCAGACATTCAGATTGCTTATGTGCAGTCTCCTTCACGGCAGCCTTGACATGAATACTGATGTTGGGAGGTGTTTTTGAGAAAGATCACAGATTGTCAACTCTGGGGCAAGAGCAGTCCTTAATGTATGTATAGCACCTAGGCTAGCAGAATGGAGCCCAGCATGGCTGGAGCTGCTGCATACCATGACAATAAAAAATGGAATGTACTGACATCAGTGTTCAGGTTCTAAAGCCATGGGTTCCACCAATTACTTTGGGAATCTTCTCTGCTGCAAACACTGGCAAAGTAAGGGCTCGTCTACATGGGGAGTTACTCCTGATTAACTACCTACATGGATGCTCTTATTCTGGAGTAAAAGAGCTTTATTCCAAATTAGCTTAATTCACTTCCAAATTCCCAAATGAGCTATTCCCAATCTGATTTACTTTCAGGTTTAGACAAGCCTACACCATGCCTGATTGAGGTAGCCATGAGAGACTGACTACTCCCCAGGATTTTGACCCTGCTGTAGATGCCATGGCTCAACAAGTTTAAGTAGTTTTGTTGCCCCTTCCAGCTTGCTTTGTGTATAACAAATAGGATGCTGCTAGGAGACCTTCCTCCAGCATAGGGCACAAATAGCAAGTAGATAGTCACTCCACTCTGTGCAATGATTCCTGTGGGGTGGGACAGTATCTATCCTGTGAACTGCTGAGCAGTCACTTTCCGGGCACACGATCGTATTAAACAGAAGAGAAGGGAACGTGCCATTGTGTGAGCCTTCTCGCTCCTATTTCCACTCTGCCAGTGCTACTGCAATGAGAAGAGCTTAGGATACATCATTCCAGTTAGTTAGGTAACTGGGGAAGCTGTCCAATAGCCACATCTAAGAACAAAGGATTGGCTCACTTGAATGGATGCCCCTCTTCAGACTTCTGTACGGCCTGAATGACTGACTTGTAGACTCTAAAGCTGATGGTGACCGACAGCAGCGCCAGGATGAGGTAAGAAACCACGCTGATGACGCTGAAGGCGGCTAGAGAGAGCAGCATGATCAGTGACGTGCCAAAGACAAAGCCGGTCGTTTTCACATCTCGCCAGAAGATCAGATCGTGCACTGCCAAGGAAAGGGACAAAACAAGGGGAAGTTATGGAGGTGAGGGTAACACAACAGCAAAGAGTGCTGTACAGTGGGGAATCCAGTGCAGGCCCTTGTTAAATACTCCTTACTCAGACGTAGCTTTATGGGCCTATAGCAGCGGTTCCCTTGCACTACGCACAACAGGTCCAGAAGCCCAATCGTCTTCCTGAATGCACCTGCATATACACAGCATTAAGCAGGTGTAATTAATGAAACCAAAAAGAAAACCGTTTCTAAGTAGTGTTTCTTTAGCATCAAGTAATTAGTACGTAACTCCATGCAACTTGAACATAAGAACGGCCTTACTGGGTCAGACCAAAGGTCCATCTAGCCCAGCATTCTGTCTTCCGCTGGTGGTCAATGCCAGGTGCCCTGGAAAGAATGAACAGGTAACCATCAAGTGATCCATTACCTCACAGAACACAGGGGATGGACTCAAAACCAGACAAGTGGAAACAAACCCAACACAGAATTCTATTTGCTTACTCAGCCTTACTGGAGAGAGTCAAGTGGGAGCCCAGCTTTAGAGCTGGCAGACAGAGATGTTAAGCAGTTTGAGTGAAGTCACTCAGCAATATTAGCAGCACAACTGGGACCCTTCCCTTCTCGACAATATTACCCTATATATATATGGGGATATACCTTTCTTCTCGACAATATTACCCTATATATATATATATGGGTACCTTTCTGATAGAGCTGGAAGGGACCTTGAGAGGTCATTGAGTCCAGCCCCCTGCCCTCATGACAGGACCAAGGTACCATCCCTGACAGATTTGTCCCAGATCCCTAAATGGTCCCCTCAAGGATTGAACTCACAACCCTGGGCAAGACTGTCCAGAGTAAGCTGTCACAAGATACAGTCTGAGCAGGGAAATACCCGCTTGTCAGTCACAGTGACTGCTTAAAATCAAGCCTTTGACAACAACATGCAAGTTTTCATGCAGAGCATTTCCTTTATCATTGCAGATTTGTGTTGAGTAAGGGCCTCTCCCTTCCATCACACCCCATTACTTCAAAGCCTCAATGTGCCAAGAAGTCAGCCTTGTGCCCCAGAAGCCTAGGAATGGCTGGAATATTGCAACACAGCATTCTTATTTTGCTGGAAGGTTAAAGAGCAAAGCCACTCAGTGAAGACCAAGAAATATGAACAGGGGAGGGGCGCTAATGGAGGAAGGCTAGCAGTCAAGGACACTGACTGTAAAATGAGAGGAGCCTGTTTACTGCTGAGCAAGTTCTAGCAAATGCGACACAGGGCAGAACTGAGTGAGCTGAGCTACAGAGACAGGAAATGCAGCTGCAATAGCTTCAAAATGTCTATTAGCTATGATGAAGTCACCACAATCCACTTATTACACTACTCCCCCCCCTCCCCAATATCACAGTTTCAGCGCAACCCAATGTATGTTTATCCAAAGGGGACAGAAGATTAGTAATGTTTCTTTCCCCCCAGCCAATATGCTTAATTAAATCACACCTCAGACACCCATTTGATAGTACCAGACACCACATACTGATCTCTGAAGCATCAGCCCTACCCATCATGGCTTGGTCTGTGGTGCTTATGCAGCGCCCAATGCTGGGGTATCAAAGTATTGATAACACGGGTGACAGGTCTTAGCCACAGCGTCATCTCCAATGATCTTAGAGAGTAATTTGTGTTGGAGAAGTTACTCCAAAAGCTCTACTACTTTACAAATAAGCGAATGTCTTTAACAGAAATTTAAAACTCCAATTAGGGAACCTAGTCCAAGCCCAGGGTATACTCTCCATTCAGAATAAGGCCAATCTCTTTGGGTATTCCCTGGATTTAAAGGGCTTTATTTTTCCATCTCTTGTAAATAACGTCTCCTGGTAGGAGGCGCACGCTTTTGGGTATTACATTTCTTTGCCTGCAGTATCCTGCTTCCAGTAGAAGAGGGCGCCATTATCATTAATGGCAGCCTGCAGAAAGAACAAACACTAAATTGAAGAAGGATTTGCAGCAGTCCCCAACCTGTTTCCCAGTGCTGTTTATTCTACTAGTGACAGGGGGAGAGAGAGAAGATAACTGGGCAGCCAGTCAGCCAGCACCTCTCCCAGTATGCTGGCACTAATCCATGCTCCAAGCAAAACCTCTGCAAGAAAGCTATTCGAGTCTGTTCCAGGCAGAACAAAAAAGAAAAGGAGGAATTTCCAGAGTTTACCCTATGTTTTTCATGGCTGCTTTAGATATGTTAACTGAAGGTTAACTTTGCTAGGGAAGGTTTTGTGTTTTGCTTTTTTAAAATACCCAGCGATGAACCCCACTAGTGACAACATATTTAAAAAAGACCTGGCAGTGGGGGGGGAGAAGGGCGGCGGCGGCGAGGAGAGCTTTAAGACTTCTCTCCATTGATCTTCAGATTGAAACCTAGCAGAGAGCAAGTCTTCTGGTTGTTTTGGAAGAGCATAAAGGGTGCTCATTTTCTTAACTGCCTCTCCCAGGCAGTTTCTGAACCAGCAGCTTGGCAGAATTGGTTTTCAGTAGCAGAGCTTCCAGAAGGGAAATGCGGTAGGAGGGGAAGTGAGAACAATCTACACAATTACAGGCTGCTGGAGAATTAGCAATTTTAATTTTTCCCTTAATGCTTGCACAAAGTAGAGAGCGAGGGCTGATGGGTGAGTTAAAACAAAGATGGGAAGTGCAATAACCCAGATCAGAGGTAAAGGAAACATCCCAGAATCTCTAGCAGACTGTGATTCCATTTCATTGCTATGTCTTTGCCTGCCTGTTTAAAATCCCAGCCCCCTGCTAGTCTGTGGATCAGAGTCTGGAATGAGCTGCACCTTCATGTGTATACAGTATTCTGGCTTGGATTCTTGTAGCCAAACAAAACATGAAAGCGGTGGGGTGGAAGGGAGGAGCTATATTAGGAGCCTGCATTCCTTTTGAGGACGCCATATGCACTGCTAACACGGGACCAACTGCTCAGGTTGTGATGCTTCAAAACAAAGCCCTCTCCATACGGATTAAGCTCCTACACTGAACAGGAACCAAAATAGGTTAATGGAGCCTGCTTCATTCTTTATATTTCATCCCCAGCCAGATCCAGAGCCCTCAGAAGAGGACAGAGGAGGCATTTACAAAGCAGCACAAGGCTGTTACTGTGAGAGACACGAGAGGCGCTTGCTCTGTGCTACGAAAGAGCCTGGCAACTGGCCAAAGATAAATTTATAAAAAGCCCTTTTGAAATGGGTTGCTCTCTCCTGACCTGCAGAAAAATAGTTTTTCCATGAAGAGATGCCTGGCTGTCAATCTCACATGCAACAAGGCAGAAGGGAATCACTTCTGCTACCAAAATTGCTGGAGAGAGAGAGAAAGCCAAGAACCACAGTTTGTCTGCACTGCACTAGACCAAATCAGAACAAAGAACAACAAAGCCAGCCTCCTATAAAGCAGTCAGGAAGAAATACACAGATGGGATGTAACTGCCTTGTCACATTCTCACTAGAGGATTTTGGCTGGTGATTCCCAAGCTATTTTATGCAGGAATTATGTCTACATCTCTCAAACATACACATGCTCTTGAGCCCAATATCCAAAGATAAAGCTCTGAGCACAACAGCCATATCAGACTAGATCCCTTCTGCCTGAATACACAGCATCATCCCTCTCAATTCACTTGATTAAAGGAATGCCTATGGGTGATGTGTGGTTTAGACTGACACCACCACCTTTTTACTTGAGGCCCACACCTCAGATGAATAGATTTGGCAAGCTAAACTCAACTTCCACTTGGCTTTAATCATCTTTTACTTAAGCTTTCATCTCTTCCCTACAACACTGTGGGATTCCTGACCTTGCATAGTGAATTTAAGATCCATAACTGGATGCAAATTAAGGATGTTAAGAGGCAGGTAATTGACTAATCATGTAGACAATACACTTTGTATCGACTACACGATTAGTCAATAAGGGAAGGCGTTCAGTCCCAGTGTGCGCCGGTCCAGGAGCTCCCCTTGCTGCGGCTCTGAAGTTTAAATGTAGGAGGAATCGGACGCGCAGGCCAGGGATGTTGAAATCTCTTTAATCAGTTAAACGTTATGTGTAACTCATTAACTGCTTTTATAGGGGTAAGCTGGAGCATCCCTGCCTGCCCATAGCAGGCTGTTCTGACTGGGCTGGGCCCACAGCACTGCACCACAGGCAGAGAGCTGCTCCAGCCCATACTGGGCCCACCAGTTAACTGGTAATAGGTGATGCTTACCAGTTAACCATTGACATGCCCACTGCAGGCAACCCGGCTCCTACTACATTTAAATGGCAGTGGCACAGCAGGAGTAGGTCCCGTGAAATGCAGAGCTGCAGCAGTTTTGGACCGGTGCAAGCTGGGACTGAGCTGGGGCTTGCTCAGTCCCGGCTTGTGCTGGGTCTAGTAGCCCCTGTCCCCAGGGCTGGCTGCAAACAGGGGCTGCTGCTGAAGCAACTTCTGCCTATGGCCAGCCTGGGCACTGCGAACAGTGGCTGCTGCTTTAAGGGGCGGGGACGGGGGTTGGGAGGGGGGACAGGAAGCAAGCAAGCTTACATCCATAATACAAATCACTCCGGCTATTTAAAACCACAATGAAATGTATGAACATTCCTGCACTGGCAGTCCTACCCTCCAGCTCCTATGGAAATGTATCTTCTGTGGGCTTTATCAAAGATTTAAGAGATTTGCAGGAACTGGATATAGAAGGGTCTCAGCTCCATCAGTGCAGGATGCAGAACTGCTTATTACAATGTATTGTCTAAAGCCTCGTCCAAGCAATGAGTCTTCCGCTGCTTCCCCTGGAACCTACAGATCACTCCATTGCTTCCCTTTATCCCCCCCAAATAACTGCACTGTTCTTGGCAGGGCTGGATTAACTCTTCAGGGGCCCAGGGCTATTGGATTTTGTGGGGCTCCTATATACAAGTCTCTCAATTTAAAACAATGATCACATGCAGGGTGTGGGGGAAGGCTTGAGGCTTCCCTTAGGCTCCAGGAGGGGGCCAAAAATGAGGGGTTCAGATTACAGGAGAGGGATCCAGGCTGGGGCTAATGAGTTTGGAGTACAGGAGCAAGAAGGCTCTGGGCTGGGCTGTGGGATCAGGGAGGTGGATTAGGTTGCTTATCTTGGGCAGCTCCTGTTTGGTGGTGCAGTGGGGCTGAGACACCACTTCCAGAAGCATGTCCCTTTTTGTGGCCCGGGGGGAGGGGACACCACATGCTGCCTTCCCTTCCCCCGATCACCACAAGCCAGCTCTTGCAGGTCTTGCCCAGTGGAAGACTGGAGAGGGGGAGGGGAAGAGGGAGCATGCAGAGTTTCCTCCCCCTCACCAGGCAGGGCTAGATTAAAGCAAGGGATTTACTGGCTGCAGCATTTAAGATCTGGACTTTTGGCAGCCAGGAGATCTTTTAGTGGGGCCCTGGGCTGCAACAGCTAAGTTAACCAATTCTTGGTGTTTACACCCTTTACCAATTCACAGTATCATTTCCCAGGTCTGTTTCCATTGACTCTCAAGGAAGGACGTGTCATTTTAACATTTTTTGAAGATTATATATCCTGTGCCCCACCTCCAACCAACTCAAGCACCACACTCTCGGCTTGCCAGCATTTAATTGTTCCTTGCATTGGAATAGCACATGAACACCAAAACGGGCTGGTCGCACTGAAACCCCAAAAACTGAAGCGATTCATTTAGCGCAGTTCAACCACGGACTCTGACCCCTTGCATTAACTGAAATGTCATTCTGTCAAGAATGCCTTTCCATTCACTTGAATGGACACTAACTGCGCTTAGCTGTAATCCATGAGTGAATCTGTTCCCAGTATCCTTATTTTATATGCATACGTTAGATAGGGAGCTTAGAAAACCGGATTGAAATTCCTCTTACCGGCATAACCACAGTGGAAGTGTGAACAGAGCTTCTATTCAGGCCTCTTTCTAGTCCACACTTCCCTGCTCAGCCAAGCCACAACTTTGTCTAAAGAAATTGTCACAATACCCTCTTACAAAATCACCAGTGCTTGGGTTAGCAGTCATTTTGAAAATGAACCACATGAGGCAAAAGCCTCAGGGGCATCAAGTTATTAAAAGAACTGTTTGTGCCCCTGAGTATTTGCTATTCTAGCTGGCCATCTGATCATGTCATCTGGATTAACAGAAGTACTAGTGAAATGGATAGCGGTGGGTCCTTTATTCTCAACCTCCCATGCCCCAAATTATTCCCCAAGCACAGTTCTCACCCAAGACTCCACACAATCTAGGAGGGACACTGTTATTTGTGATTTTATATGGAAGGCATTCATAAAACACAGAAACAGGTAACAGATTTAGATCAAGGGTGGGAAATTTTAGGCCCGGGGGCCAGATGAGGCCCCCAGCTTGTCTGGATGTGGCCCCCAAGGCTCAGGGGGAGCCTATCCTGGCACTCCAGTGCCCCTGCTGTCCCACTGCGGGGCTGGAGCACACAAAAGCTATTAGGCTAAGTTCCCCTAGGCTCTGGTGTACGAGGGGAATGTGGGGAGAATCTTCCTCCTCAGTCAGGGGCCACATCAGTGAGGGTTTGTTTTTTGGGGTTTTGTTTTGCTTCTCACTTGTGTGCATCTCCCAACTGATTTTTCTGTGGGTCAGTGGCCCCCAACCCAATAAAGATTCCCCACCCCGGATTTAGATTAGAGCCAGAAGGGAGCATTGGGATTGAGTCAGATCTCCTGTGCACCACAGGCCCACAGGGCTGCCCTGAATCAATTCCTATTTGCTCTAATCCAGACCTTTCAGAAAAAAAAAAACCCAGTGTGAATTTAAAAATTGCTAAGCTATTGTACTTTGTTCCAATAGTTAATTCCTCACTGTTCACAATTTTCACCTTATTTCCAGACTGGATTGTCTTTCATCAGCTTCCAGACATTAGATCAGGTCATACCTTTGCCTGCTCAACTGAAAAGCCCTCTACTATCAAATTTCTGCTCCTGGTGTAGACTAATGAAGCCATTGCTTAACCTTTGCTTTGCTAAACTAAACAGATTGAACTGCTCCAGCCTCTAATTATAAGGCACATAGTCTATTTGACAATAAGACAGACTTCAGCAAGCAAATAGCCCTTTTTTGAAGAATGGCAGAATGCATGTGGACATTAATCAAGCAAAGTTCTCGAGGAGGAAAACATGATTAGAACCACATAGAATCCAAGATGTGCTCTTGCAACCACAATGCAAATTAGCTGGTTTCCTTTGTAAAGCTAGATTTCTAAGGGCATTAACAAGGTGAGTGTCTGACAAGCAAATAAGGACATGAGACTGATATTGTATTTCCAAGATAAAATGTTTACCTGAAAACCCAGTCGGTAGCCTCACTAGGGCATGTTCTACTCGAGATCCAGTCACACTATCACAGACAGCTTCTTTGGGGATTTCACCATCAGTATTAATGTGAGTGGTGGCAGAGGTGAGCTTCATATTTGTTTGCTGCTGGATGCAGAGAGGTCGCTTCTCCAAAGTAGATTTCTGGGCAGGTGCTGAGGTGTCATGGTCCTGGTTTGCTACTTCACCTTCTAGTAGGGAGGTTTGATTTTGCATTAGAGTCTGCTTCTCATCCCGTTTCCCACCTAGTTCTTTAAGGGCCTTAATTGTTAGCTGCTCCTGCTCAAAGTCTTGAGCTACCGTGGGGGATCTTTTAGAGAACAAAGGTTTCTGGAGGTCGCCCTCGTCATCCGTGAGTTTTTGCACAGCATAATCACCATCCACTTTCACATCTGACCTATTTGCCTCATCTTTAGGAACAGGTCTTCCTGGAGGAGTGGTTTTTAGAGCTGCAGTTTCAGCCTCTAAGAAGTTTTCTGTCAAGTCCTCTAGAGAGCCATTACCTTGGGAATTCAAGCACTCCCGCATGAAATCCACGAAGTTCTCCCCACTTAAGGCACCTGGATGTTCTTGTTCTTCCAAGTTACCCAAGGGCAGAGAGAGGGGGACTCTCTCGTTCGGCATATATCTAAGATCCTTTAGTGGAGCACTTACTGGAGAAATGCTGCAAATTTTACCAGCCCTGAGCGGTTTCCCAAAAAGCCCTGGATCAGAGTCGCTTGACTGTTGCGTATTTATAGACGTCAAGTCCAGAGTGGGTGACTTGGGAGGTTTTTTCTCTGCAACTGGACTCCTTCCAACAATGTCCAGGTGAGTTTGTATAGTTTCAAAGTCTTCACCAAATCCCCGTTTGTCTTCTGGTGTCTTAGAGGACAAGTGACCTTCTCTGCTGTATTTGTGCAGCTTGTTACATGTCTCTTCGTTATCTGCAATTATCCAGTCTCTTGTTTCATCAGCAGTAGCAGGAGCTGAGGTCAGCTTCTCCACTGGTGCCATGCTGCTATCTGTGGGGTGAAAAACAAGTTTCTTGTTTCCACAGGCCAGATCTATTGGCACGTCTTCTATCACAGTGTCATCAGATTCGCCAGAACTGTCTGCATCTGTGATTTCAGCCAGGCCAGGACTTGACCAGCTCCCATCAGCCTTCAGTTCAACTGCAGAAGGTGAAGCAATCTTCAGTTTAACAGCTTCTTGGTCCAGAGGAACACGTTTATCAAATTGAGGTGCTGCTAAATCTGTATATGCTCTGTTTTTCTGATGGACACTGACAGTGACAGGATGAGGGATGGGTGCTTTGCATGCTTCTGTCCTACTGCCTGTTGGCTGCATAGGAGTACTGCGAGCCTCTTTGGAGGGCATTGCAGATAGGTTTGAGATTTCAGCAATCTTGTCAGAATTCTCCACTTTAGGAATCAAGTCCCAAGTCAGCAGCTCATTTGTGAAGCTGTGCATCTCACGTACACATTTGGACACTTCTTCTAGTGCAGCTGTTGTACCTGAAGATTGGCGTGATAGCCCAGGTCCTGTTGGAATGCTGCTCCCACTACGAGTTTTCACTTGGAACTCACAGATGCTATCTTCTGGAATATCCGTAAGTAGCTCTCTCTCACTGTGCATCACCCAATTGCTACTGAGATCATTGGAGTTGCTGATTAATGAATTCTTATACTCCTTATCAAAAGCTGCTTTGTCAATGATCACCTCAAAAGGCGATTCAGGAGAGTCTTTTTCCATAGGGGTCTCCCCACCAGATGGCATGGAAGAATGTGAACAGACACCTTTGATCAGAGGTTGCTCACTATCTTGCTTCTGGTCAGTCAGGAACATAAATCTGGATTCACTGCCTGTAGTGCTTCTCTTGTTTTGGCCCATAAAATCTTGGTCCTTACGTCTGCTTTGTTCAGCTTTATCTTCTGACAGGCAGATACTGGAGCCCCTTGCATAAGTATGTTCAGGAGAATTAGTTGAAATCATTGGGCTATCGGAATGAGGTTCTGTGCAAACAGAAAATGGTGAGCCTTCTGACCCAGGGGATCCAATGGATGTTGCCTCTATTCCAGAGTCTGCACTTGGTCCACGGAAACTATCCATTCTTTTGTTGTCTACAGCAACCACCAGCTCTTTCACCTCATTTGAGGGACAGGGCTTGCTGTCTATTTCTCGGCTGCTGTCTGCCCAAGTGGTCAAGCCAGGAGGTTCAGATCTCAGAATCCCTGCAGCTGCCTTATCAGAGAGAGAAGCAGGCCCCTCTGAAGCACGATTTGAGAGAGGAAGAGATTCAGAGTGCAGTTAAAATTCAAAAGTCAAAGTAGGCAACATGCACTCTTGGGATCTAGAGGAAGAGAGACGGGACCCAAGCCACTAGCCTTGGCAAACATGCATGGAATTGCCAGCCATAAGATAGGAAAGCCACTTTACACACAAGAGGTTGCAATCTATACCAATACTTTCCAAGCTGTTGTGATTTCATAGCATACAAAAGGGAGTGTTAAGGCCTACAAAATTAAGTATGCAAAGCAGCTATGGAGGAGCTTTAAGGCATGCTGAGAAAGTTAAAGCAATACAAATTAGAGTTTTGACTTTTTGTTATGTGCTATTTATGACAGATGGAATTGCTACACAAATAGAACAGGTCAGCCTAAATTCATCACCCAAATTAAAGTGACCCCTGAAACAACCTGAAAGCATCATTACACCTGCACTCAAGTGACAATGCTACAGTTATTGCCTACTGAATTTTCCAACTCAGTATAGAGACGGAGTGCAAAGGCACCTAGTCCTCCTTTGCTCCACTCAAGCCTGTGGGTGGGGTTCTGCCCTGTTCTTGGAAGAAGGGGGACAAGAATGTTCGCAGCAACACATTCTGCAGAGCTGGGATGGCAGAGTCTCATCCCCAAGAATGTGTAGAAAGGCAGTTTGGTTATCCCATCCAAAGGTGGTGTCTCATCTAGAGCATTCGCAGTTAGGAATGCAGGACTTTATAGGGTGCATACCCTATCAGAACCACTCCAATCTCCTTGAGCTTTGATGTGCTGTGATAAAAGCTTCACCCAGTGTTCTTGCAGATGTGCTTAGGAGCAGTTACTCTGATTGCACTGCTGAGGGAGCCAGTCTGACCCACAAGCAGGATAGAGTTATTTGGGAAACACTCCCTCCAAATGGAATTATAATTGTGAAAGGAGCAGAGGTGGGACCAATCCCTTTGCAGGTGGGAGTGTGCGCCTCTGGCATGATTTGGGTCTGTATGGCAGTAGTTTCTTAGTGATTCAGTCATGTTGATCAGCTTCTAAACAACTTCATACAAGATGAATCAGAGCAAGTGCCTGGGGAAATGTGCTATATGCTAAGTTGAGCTTTGAAAAGCATATAATAGAAAATAGTTACTCAATGCAGCTCCATTAGGATTTCACATGGAATGCTGTCCATTTTATTTACATTAAAATATGTTGGTTTGACACTGAACACAGACGTAACAAGGAATAAACTCGAGATCAGTCTTAACCTACATGCAAGGAGGACATCTGTGATTAAGGTGACTACCTTCCGAACGTCACTACAATAGAATTCCCAGCACAACAAAGAAAGGGTTTAGAAAAATAAGTGGCCAATTTTAATAGTTTAGCTTATATCTAGATAACACTTCTACTTATGTGTTGACTTTAGCAAATTTTCATTTATACCCACATCTTCCTCTACTTAAAGATGCAAAAATACAGATTTTTTTTTAAAGCATACGACATATTTCTAGCTTGTCCAGTAACATCTATGAAGATGTTACAAATGCTAAATACAATGCAAGCAGGCCTTACATTGCTTCACAAATCACACTTCAGGAACTATACAGCTTCACCAATGAAAGTTAAGTTTCCAATGAAGAATTACCTTTGTTACCATGACCATAAATGAAGTGATGTAGTTGGATACAACATGCTTGTTGTGCAGTCTCTGTAACAGCAGATATTGACTGGGCTTACTACGATTATATGAAAATATTACTAGATTCTAAAAGGAAGGGTTTTGTATGGAAAATTAATTTTCAACCCTCTTTAAATGAACAACAGGAATCATAGCTTCCCATGATTTCAGAAGGTGGTTTTGGAATCCCATCAATGGTGGGTTATAAGAACAGATTATCAAACACCTGCCAGGGATGGTCTAGCTTTACTTAGTCCTCCATTAGCGCTGGAGGACTCAACTAGAGAACCACTTAGTCCCTTCCAATTCTATGCATCTATGACACAGAATACACGCAGTTTGTTCAATGTTGCACTAGTATGCATTCAAGGAGGAGGAGGAGGTTGGACAGAGTATGAGGAGATTTAAGGGCAGCTGCCCTGAAGTTTAGGCTACTTGAACATGGTAGCTCTGTCTAAACCACACTCACAGTAATAGAGAACAAGAAATAGAAATAATTTTCCTGTGTGCCTGATTTTCAGAGCCTAATGCTCCTGAAGTCCAAATGAGGGCTTTTAACTAGCAGAAGACAGTAACTGTCAATTTTGCTTAATGTTTAAAATTTCTACCCATTTCCAGAAGATGCCCAAGACTCTTCCTCACATGAGAAACACCTAAAGTGTTAAGAAGCCAGCTTTGAAATGAACTTCCTAACATTCCAGCTGGCAGACCCTCAATAGTCTTCTTCCCCAGAAGCCCAAGAAACTTAATATCAACATTCAGGAAAAGTCTGTCCAGTTCTAAGAAGCAATTTTCTTCGAGTAGAAAAAAATGTGCTATGCAAGCTGAAAGAGTGACAATTACTACACAAAGCATTATCCAGATTTCTCTTTGATTCATCTGGAGGAAAACTGTGCACATTTTAAAGAAAAAAGTTAAATTTTCAGTGAAAGAAATTCCTAAGTTAAATTATCGCTAACGGGCACTTTTTTTTAACTGGAGAGCACTGGCAAAATATACAACATGTTTCTCAATTTCGAAAACTAAGTTCTTCCCAACTATGCCTGCATTTGCTCATGTGGGGACACACAAAACTGTTAGGACTTGAAGGAACAAGGTAAAGGAGATAGGTACCAGAATTCAACCCTCAAGTTAAGGGCGCATCGGGCCTTTTCTAGATTGAGCATGTGTGATAGTCACCCCTGCAACTGAAATCTCTGGCCAAGATACACTGCTTTAGGAGTTGTGGGGATGGAATACCGTCCTTTCCAAGGCTATAGCTTGAGATAGAAGATGGTTGTAATATATTTTAAAAATGATTTTCAACCTTTTCTTCCATTTGTGGACCACTAAAAAAAAATATTTAGAAATCTGAGACATTGTCCACAGGGCCCCCCCGCCTCCTCAAGGTTTGTGGACCAGTGTGAAAACCATGGTTCCAACAGATCTTAAACAAGCTTCACAGATATAAGGTTAATCTGAAACACAGGCCTCCTATATGCAAATGACTTGTATGAAGATGGCATGAAAAGATGTTTTTTATAAAAGTGTTTCCTGTTTTTTTTATTTTAAAATGGAGAATCAAGATTTCTGTACCCGGCTTCCTTATGAAAATTCAAAAAAAAAAAAAAAAAAGATAGCAATTGTTTAACTGCAATGGCAAGCTCTTACTTGGGGAATACTGGATTATATGGAATACTGATCTGGTATGCAACTCTTATGTTCTTATAATTGTAGGACTGCCAAATTAGATCAGATCTGGGCTCCATCTAGATCAGAATCCCATATCCAAGTGTCCAGATGCTTCAGAGAAAAATGTAAGAATCCCATAACAGGCTTCCTCATTTACACAGTCAAAACACAAGTCTAAGGATGTGTCTACACTGCACCCTTACCTCAAAATAAGCTATGCAATCGAATACCCCAAATCAAATACCTGGTATTCCAAAATAGGTCCACAGTGTAGACATAGCCTAAGGTATTAAATTTAAGTATGTCAATAGTTAGACGACTACGATTCACCAGAGCCAGCAAGGCGGTAGGTGGAGCAGGAGCTGGTGCCCGTGAAGAGAGGGCTTAAAAGCTGGCTCCCCACAGACACCAGAGCCACCTGCCCATCCCACTACCATGCTGCTGCCTCTGATAGAGAGGCAGCAGCACAGAGTGAGGCAGGCGGGAACTGATCCGGAATTCAACAAATGCTAGGATATCAGAGTATCCTTGAAGATTTAAAATTTATGAATTAAGATCTAACCCAGTGTTTCTCAGGCTCTGTGGAAAGGCTCTGATTTTATTTTAGGAAAAAAAAAAAAAAGCTCATGGATGCCAAGGAAAGAATCTCCAAAAATATTCCCTCTCAGTTGGGACATTAGATATTGTAAAATTGAATAGTCACGTAACCACATAAATTATCTGTTACACAACTATTCTATAGTCCCTGACAGTAGGGCTGGCAGCCACTGTGTTTCGGTCCCACTCCGGTGAGCCTGCTGCCACCCCACGCTGATGCCTCTGTATCAGAGGCAGCAGCGCAGTGTTTCAGGGAGCACACTGGCTGATGGCCTGCTCCTGGGGACTATTGAATAGTAGTGCAACTACTAAAGTTTCACTTAGTTACACGACTATTCAATTACACACTATCCAACATAATTAAATTGTTCCTTCAATTGTTGGCCTCTGAGGATAGAGCAAGAAGCAATGGGCTTAAACTGAGCAAGGGAGGTTTAGGTTGGACATTAGGAAAAAGTTCCTAACTGTCAGGTTAGTTAAACACTGGAATAAATTGCCCAGGGAGGCTGTAGAATCCTCATCTCTGGAGATATTTAAGAGTAGGTTAGATAAATGTCTATCAGGGATGGTCTAGACAGTATTTGGTCCTGCCATGGGGGCAGGGGACTGGACTCTATGACCTCTCGAGGTCCCTTCCAGTCCTAGTATTCTATGATTCATCACTTTAGTATATGCACTTCACAACTGTGAATATATTTATCTTCACACCCCTTTGTGCGTTAGGGGAAATGTTTGTATTTTCATTGTATAGAGTAGAAACTGAAGCCTAAAGGGACTATAGGATATTAGAGGTGTTAAGTTGTGGTTCTGACTAATTGTGTAGTCAAAACATTTTGTATGAAATAAACAATTAGTCGATAAGGACCATTCTGCACAGCCACAGCAGGGATAGCTTCAGGAATCCTCCTATTATTCACTCAAGTTGCGTGCAAAAAAAATTGCACAAATGGAAGTCAGCCACAGGAAAACAATTCTCCACTTTAAGTTGTTCCACTGTAAGCGCAAGTTTTTTGGAACATATCTTGGACTTATAACGAGGATGGCCTGTAGTGTAATGTAGACACTTAACTACAGTAATGGAAGAGGTTCTTTTATCACTGTTGTAAATCCGCCTCTCTGAAAGGGGGTAACCTGGTCAATGGAAGAATTCTTCCATGACCTAGCACTGTCAACACTGAGGCTTAGATCAGAATAATGACATATCTCAGGCGTCTGACTTTTTCATACCACTGAGTGACATAGTCTGCCTAACCTTCCAGTGTTGACTTAAATTACTTGCTCATGGTCATGCAGGAAATCTGTGGCAGAGCAGGAAATTAAATGTTGGTTTCCCTAGTCCCAGGCAAGCTCCCTAACTGGACCATTCTTCCTCTTTAGGCTCAAAACCATTAAAAAAAAAAACCTATAGAGGCTATCTTTAGAGCAGGCGATATCTGTAGGAACCTCGCTCAACTTACAGATCAAATAAACTTGCTGTGCACTCTTTCACTCACAGAATTCAATGTTCAGGTCATTTCTCTTACAGATTTGAGAATTGGTTTATATTTGGTTATCCTTCTGAAGTGTTCTGCATCTTGTTGTTTACACCACTTGTTTAGTTTGTTTTCAAAAATTCATAAGCAGAATTTACTACTTTTAAGTCTAACAGCATGTTAGCTTATGGAAAAACATGGGGTTACACTGAAGATCTGTAGTAAGCTAACAAAGTGGTGGGGCAAACACTATATAATTATCACTTTAATAGGGTGATAGGCACTGAGTCAGTATCTTTAACAACATGTAGATGCACACAAACACATCTGCCAAGTGATCAATTTGAAAAAAATATTCAGGCTTTTTGCCACTGAACTAATTTGTGTTATTTTTAATCCAAGCAAATACAACAGACAAAGATTGAAGCTAAAAACGTGCAA